TGTCACCTCTGTGCTCCTGGCACTGTCATTGTCACCCCCGTGCTCCTGCCATTGTCACCTCTGTGTCCTGGCTCCTGCTGAAAACCCTCCCGGGGTTCCCCGGTGGGAGCAGGGCAGAGCTCCCACACGAGCACTCAGGATGTGGAAATTGAGGATGTGGAAATTGAGGATGGGGAAATGTTGCAGAGGCTCCAGCTCCTGCAGGGAATTCTGTCCTGCTGTGCCCATCCAGGGACTTCTGCAGCCCCGAGGATGCTGGAGGAAACCCCAGGAGCTTCCAGGGGCCGTGGAAAGGAGTCAGACTCCAAAATCCATCCAGATCCAAAGGGATTTTAAAGCTTTAAACTCTCCCCAAATTCTAAACTCCCCAAACTGTGCCTTTATGGCTGGGAATCCAAAGCAGTGCCCTTGCCTTTCCAAACAGCACCAGCCGTGGACTTTCCATTCTCTTTATTCATTTATGGATTTCACCTTTCTGATCCTGCAGCCCCTTCCCACCTGGCACTGCCAAATCCAGCCCAGCCCCTTCCCAGCACTACCTGCCAGCTCTGAGGGGCAAGGTGACTTTTCCTGCCTTTTTTTTTTTTTTTTTTGGCTTCTCTCTCGCTTCCCCTCATCAACTCGTTTGCCAAGCAGTGTAATTTTACTGCCTGGCTTCCAAGGAGCCAAGAAATACGTTTGGTGTGAGCTGGGAGTTAGAGAGAGTGAAAAACACACAGATCCAGGGGTTTTTCAGGAGGCAGATTCAGGGAGCAGCAAAATCGCCACCAGTCTGAAGGATTTGCCTTCCCCAGCAGCACTTCCAGCCTCCCCACCCCACAAACTCCTTGGGGTATGGGCAGGCTCTGCCCTGCTGCTTCCACAGAACCAAGAATGAGAGCCCAGAGCTCACCTGGGGCCTCCAAGACCCTCCAAGACCCTCCAAGATCTCCTTTGCCCCCCTCCAGGTACTGACTGCCCTGTTTTTAATGTGATTTCTCCTGAATATTGGGGTGTGTCAGATCCAGGTGTGCATTTCTGAGCCCCAGACCCCACCCCTGCAAATCCCAGAATTGTTCAGGTTGGAAAAGCTCTTCAAGGTCATCAAACCCAAACACCAAGCACCACATTCAGCACCAAACCATGCCCTGAAGTGTCACATCCAGAGTTTTCTGAACCCTTCCAGGGCTCATTTATTCCTGGCAGACACAGCTGGAATGGGAATGGTGGGGTTTGAGCTGAGCTCACAAACACAACGTGGCAAAAACCCCCAAAGCTGAGGGGCAGGAAAGCACAGCAGGAGGGACCCCGAGCCCTTCCTGGATCTGCTGGGATTGGGCTCATCCCAAGGGGTCCCTGTGGCCCCTCCAGGTGCTGGCAGCACTCTGGTGTCCATCAAACCCACCCTAAATCCCAGCACACACAAACCCCAACAGGAATTTGCTGTGCACATCCAGGATGGGAACAAGGTGGAGCTTCCAGCTCCCCTGAGATCCCAACCCCACAGGAATCCCCTGGTGGGCACCAATCCATCCTCAGGCTGCTGAGGCACCTCCTCTCTGATGTTTCTACCCTCTCTAAGCTTTTTTTCCTTACAAACGTGAACCAGGCAAGAAGAATAAGTTCACACTTTGAAAAAAAAAAAAAAAAAAAACCCAAAAAAACCCAAACCCACTTTCCTCTTTTAAAGTCCAACTTTTTTTTTGGGTTCCTGACAAAGCAATATTCTCCAGGCCAGTTGGAATCTGGAAAAATACACTCACTCAACCTCGCCACCATGACTCCAATAACAATTATAAAATGTCCAATAAAACTTGTCTGTAATGTCAATTCAAATCTTGAAAAGCAGAATTAAGTGGTATATCAACATTAAACTTTATTGCTTCCTTCGCAGAGCACAAGGACTGTCAATAAAAGTCATTCTGAATGAAGAAAAGGGCAGTAAATATTAAATAAACAGGTTTTTGTTGAAATGCTATAAATGCACCAGAGCTGCCTCTTACACTGGGACCCTTTTTTTGCCTTTGCAGGCTCCCCCAGTGATCGAAACAAGTCAGTAATTGCCAGCTATCAATAAAGGGCCAATTAAAAGGGCCTTGGTGGCTGTCTTTGGGACATTTATGGGGTGGGCTCGGCTGCTCCAGCTCCCCTGGCTCTGCCTGAGGTCCCCCAGGGCTCTGCTGCTCCTCAGGAGGGGCTGGAGCTTCCAAGAGGGATGGAGCCAACCCCAAGGGGAGAAAGGGATGAGAGGAGAGGATTGAGGGATGGGTCGGGGTGGGAGGCACCCTAAACATCATCCCAGGTGTTGGAATTTTGGAATTTGGAAGTTTTGAAATTTTTTTGGTCGTGGTTGGGGGTGTGGAATTTTAGGGGAACGCTGCTTTTGACTTGAGGCCTTAGAGGAGGCTTCTAGAGCTGAGAGATGGAACTAAAATCACGGGTGTGTGGTTTAAATGAAGGTGTGTGATGTCACAGGGTAAAGAGTTTGAAATTTGGGGTTTTAGAATATAAAAAATGGAGTATATAAGTATATATATATATATATACTGGAATCACAGAATCAACCAGGCTGGAATCACAGAATTCACAGAATTCCAGAACCACAGAATCAATGGATCACAGAATCACAGATTCACAAAATCACAGAATTATAGAATGCTATAAATGCAACCAGGCTGGAATCACAGAATCACAGAGTCCACACAATCCCACAATTCACACAATCCCAGGTTTTGAAGAGACCTCCAAGATCATCCAGTCCAACCCAACCCAACCCCTCAGCTCACCCACAGCACCCAGTGCCACATCCAGACTTTTTTAAACACACCCAGGGATGGTGACTCCACCACCTCCCAGGCACACAATCCCAATATTTTCTCTCTCTTCCCATAATAAACTTTTCCCTAACATCCAGCCTGCATTTCCCTTAAGGCTGTGTGCTCTGCTTCTGTCAGTGCTGCCAGGTGAGAGACCAACCCCAGGTGAGCACAGGCACCTTTCAGGGGAGCTGGCAGAGTGATAAGCTCACCCCTGAGCCTCCTTTTTCTCCACAATAAACACCCCCAGCTCCCTCAGCCTCCCTCCTTTTCCTCTCTTTTCCTCTTTTTTCTCCACAATGAACACCCCCAGCTCCCTGAGCCGTTCCTCCCAGGGTTTGTGCTCAGTGGCCCAGGAGCAGCTCACCTGGAAGAGGATCTGCAGGAGCCCGTGCAGGATGCTCATCCTCCTGCCCAGCAGCAGGAAGAAAGGCACCAGCAGCTCCACGAAGTGATTGACCAAGGTCTCGAAGCGGTGGAACCACCACGGCGAGCGGTGCATGAAGTACGACAAGGGGTTGGGCACTGGCTGGGTCTGGAAGGGCAAAAAAAAAAAAAGAAAAAAAAGGGAATTAAGCCATGAAACCCCTCCAAAATTTGGTGTGAAACCTCAGAATTTTTTTCGAAATAATTTGAGGTAATTGAAGGGAAGGTTAGTGGCGGTAGAAAAAGGAGAACGTGTTCGGTGTGGGAATGCTCTGCCAAAGGAGCCTGCCTTGATTCACCACCACCCATGGCTTTGGAAATGCAGCTTTAAAGCTGGAAACCTTGGGAATCTTGCTTTAAAAATGAAATAAATCATTTGTGATTTCATTTATTTAATAAATGAAATGAATCTCAGAGTGACAAAGCTACAAAGTTGTGGCCTTGCTCCTTACTCCTCTCCCCCAGGTGAAGCATCCTTCACCTCTGGGAACTCGTTTCTTTGCATGGAAAATTACTTCATTCAAGTTTTTTTTCACTCATCTTTAAACAAATTCATCTCTAAAAAACCAAGAGATTGAATTTTTGTCATCAAAGCCCATCTGAAATGAAGCCCACTCTTATTGAACACTGCAATCTTACACTTAGATCAGGGATGTTAAAACTGAGTGAGGATCAAGGGAGCAGATCCAAAAACCGAGCCCAGGATTTGCTCAGGGTCAGGCCTTGGGTCAACCAGAGCCAGGAATGGAAACCAGATTTCAAAACCTCGGAGATCTGCTTTCAAAATGTTTCAAATTCAAATAAAAGTGGTGGTAGAGCTGCTTTCCAAGATGGTAATTTGGGAGAGGAAAGTGTAATTCCTCTAAACATGTTATACTGGTTAAGGTATTTACATACTGGCCTTGGGACAATATTATTCTTTTGTCAGCCTGAAATTTTTTGACACTGGGAGATTTTTCCATCCAGGAGAATTTTTCAAAGGGAACAACCCCAAATTCTGATATGTTAATAAGTGCCACCCTAGGAAATCCCACAACTGCAGCAAAAAACAACAAAAAAGTGAATTTATCTGACAGGCTTGAATTCCACGGTATTGTTTTAAAACTTCAACAACAACAAAAAAGAGAGAGGTGGAAAACACAAATGTTAACTGAAGGAGACACAACACATCTTTAAATTATTTGTAGTTAAATGCAAAATACAAACAAAATAAGGGCAAATCCTGGAGGATGCACAGCAGCCAAGCACGCTCCCGCTGCCAAATCCCACAGCTATTGTAATTCCTTATTAACAAAGCTGGGATTAATAAAGCCTGGCCTGGCTGGGAGGCTGCATGGCCCCTCAGGACAGGACACCACATCCTTCCTGCCCGGATGGGGCCAGGCTGGGCTCAGCTGTGAGCTCAGCTCTGCCAGAGCCGGGCTAGGCTGGGCTTAG